ACCAGTTCCATCTACGTGAAGATAAGTCAAATGTCCTGCTCAACCATTGTTGGCTTCTCTTGGAAGCATGGAGGAAATGATTTCTCTGTGTTGACCCTCCTCTTTATAGACTGGACACTGGTTCAAGTCCATCTGGTGGGGTCTCCTTGGCCTCCTTGATCAAGAGGTCAGATGACCCACCACCATTACAGGACATTTTGCGAGATGCTCATGATCCCTGGGAACTAATCGACCTAGGAGGGCAAGGAGCAAAAAGTGTCCTAATCTTCCCACTCTTTCTTTCACTGTTTTTCAAAACGCATTTTCCAATCTTACCATAAATGGGTATACATTACCTTTAAATTGGAGGAAAAACTTGAAATATGTATTCTATAATAATGTGTTAATTTTATGAGACTCTTACTTTCACTTAACTGAATCTATCCAGTTTTTACCACAAGAGCTTGGGAATGACAGCGGCAGAGCCAAGTGTACAGTCTCACAGCTGCTGCTCATTCCTCCAACCCTAGACACTTCAGTTTGTAACTCATTCTCTTCAGTTTGTAACTCATTCTTCACCTTGCCGCCCTGTGCTCCCCCAATTAAAAGGAGCTGAACAGAGACCAAACAAATGTGAAGAACTTCTTTCCAGAGAGAAACCAATGAAGGTGGCTAGAGGACAGCCGACCAGATCTTCAAGTCTAACAAAGCCAAAGAGAAACAAACTACTGGCAATTTTTTTCAATCTGCTGTTCATGCAGCTGAAATTTTAGTTGATGTTCTAGAATCAATTCAGTAAAACACGCCTACCTCTTTCTCTTTTGGAGTGAACTCTATGAACTGAAGGGCTTTCTAAGTTACCTTTTCTCGGCTGGCCAGTGGCGCTGTTGGCCTGGGTTTGATAAGCTCCATCACTCTGTACACATACTAGATGAGAATCTGCTTCTAAACTGAAACTAGCGCCAATGCTGATGACATGCTCATTAGAAGAGTTTATTACCTTCATTACCTGGAAGAAAAACACCATTTGTTCGGAAAAGATTTTTTTTTACATTTTATGCCTATTTTAGGAGTCACATTTCTGATTAACTTCATAATTGTCAAGTGTTGGTCTACACAACTCCTTGCAAATGTGATAAAAATAAAATAAAAATCGCCTCATTAATAGACAAAACAATAAGGAAAAAAAGAAAAAACTGAATTAAACATTTCTTCCTTTTATTTTTATTTTTTAGGTGTATATATGTGTGTGTAAGTCCATCCGTGTTATGCAATGCCCACAGAGGTTCAAAGAGGACATCAGATCCCCTGGAACTGCAGTTATGGACAGTTGTTAGCCACCATGTGAGTGCTGGGACTTGAACCCGGGTCCTCTGAAAGAGAAATCAGTGCTCTTAACCACTGAGCCATCTTTCCAGCCCCTAAACATTCTTTATTACCAAATCTAAAGATTTAAAAACATTATGTATTAGATATTTTCAGTCAAAACAAAAAAATTTTATACAGTCAGTGGACATGGTAGTGCATGCCTTTAATCCCAACACTCTGGAGGCAGAGGCAGGTGGATCTCATAGAGGCCAGCCTGTTCTACATACCAAGTTCCAGGTCAACTGAGGCTACAGGGAGACTCCATTTCAAAAAGACCAAAAAGAAAAATTTTTTTTTACACAGTCTAAGGAACTCTGCTGTTCAACTAGTCTTTAAAATCTGGATAAAGCAATTATACTTACATCACTGTATTTTTTCCGAGGTATTTTTATACAGCTTTTTCCCATTTCCATATGAATCAACAGCTGATCTATATTATGCAAGGTATACTGGTAATTTCGAAGATCCTACATAAATAAAAATGAGTACGGTTCCATAAATTAATTCATGAACATTTTACCCATCCATTAAATACTTTCATCAGTGTGTATCATTTTAAGATTTCTGACACAGTCCTATCAAAACGCCATCCAGAAAGCCAGTATCCCATTTAAAAACAAAGCAAATAACCTCTCCTCAGGAGCTGAAGAAATGGCTCAGTGCTTAAGAGCACTGGCGGCTCTTACAGAGGCTAGGGATTCAGTTCCCAGCACCCACATGGTGGCTAAAAACCATCTGTAATTCCAGTTCCAAGGGAATCTGATGCCCTCTTCTGGCCTTTGTGAAAACTGCATGCACCTGCTGCACTTACATACAGGCTGACAAACACTGATAAAATAAAAATAAATCATAATTTATAAAAACCACCAAACCGCTCCTCAAAAACCAAAACAAACAACAAAAAAAACCCCTCTAATTCTTCCAACTACTCCACAAAGCTAATAAAGAATATTCTCAGAGGAGCTGAAGATATGGCTCAGTGGTTAAGAGAACTAGCTGTTCTTGCAAGGTACCCAGGTTCAATATCCAGCACCCACATGGCAGCTAACAACCATCCATAACTCCAGTTCCAGAGGCTCCAACCCCTTCTTCTGGCCTCTGCGGGCACTGCATGCACAAGGTGCACATACGTTCATACAGGCATACAACTAAAATAAAAATAATTATTTTAACAAAAAAAGTATTCTCAAAAAAGAAGTCTACAATATTTGAAGACATTTCTTCTTTCCTGTTACTGATCTCCCAAAATAGAACAGGTTTTTTTTCTTTACAGACTCGTTTGCATCCTGTGGAGCTATTGGGAAACTGTGGAACGTCCTTGCAGAGGACATTATGATTCTGGCCCTTCCTGTTTCTTTCTTTGCTTCCCACTCACTATGAGGTGAGTGGCTTCCTCCATTAAGTGCTCCCTCATGCTGCTGCCACAGGCTCAAACCCACAGGGCCAAGTGACCACAGACTAAAATCTCTGAAGCAATGAGCTATAATAAAACTTTTCTCCTTTCAAGTTAATTATCTCATATATTTTGTCATAGTAAGAGAAAATTGACTGGCACAGTCTTTAAGCCAGACATGGATAGATCAAAGTAGGTCTAGTAAATATTTTCCTATGGTAACAAGTAAATATAAAATTATTTTAAAAATCATGGGTTGAAGGGAACCTCAGATATCACCTAATCTATCCATTCCTATTACAAAAGAGGACACTAAGGCCAAGTTTGCTCAAAATTACAAAGCTGATTAAATTTACTAACACTCTTACTAAAGCTCAACAACTCAGAGCTGTGTGCAAAAGTCTCATATTACCTCACTATGTTAAGAACTACAGCAGAGATAATCAAAAGGCAATCAGAACTAGGAACACATAGATAAGGAGATACTTGTTCTAAAAAAGAGATAAAGAGGGAGAGTTCAATAATAAGTGAATCAGTATTTATTATAAATGAACCTTCAAATGCCAAGTATGTCAAATCAAGTTTGAAAACTATAGGTGAAATTTACTAAGTAAAAAATTTAAAAAAAACAACAAAAATACCTTAATAGTTCAGTTACTTACAACAAGTAAATTCATAATAGTGTGGCCTATTTCTCCAAAAAGTGGTTTTCGGCCTCTGACACTTGTTAGAGGAGTGGGATACGCTGTACGTAAGAAAGAAGAATTCGTTACTAGCAACAACAAAAAGTCCCAAGTTTACTACTTTTTCATTTTCCAAACAAACAGTACACATAAACATCATCAGTCAGCTCTTAAGAAAAAGTAAAAGATGCCTATATGCATCTATTGGATGCCACACTGAACTGGGAATTTTATATATACTATTTTATTTAAATCTAGTGACAATCTGATGAGTAAAGGTGTCTATACCTATTTAAAGATGAGAAAGTTAAGATACAGATTAACAAGCTTTCTACTCAATTTCTGAAAATGATCTGTAACTGGCTTTTCTGATTCCAAAGCAATTCATGCTTGCATTATACATGTTTCTACATAATTCTTGGAGATAAAAACTGTGGTAATTGCTTAGATCCTTTAAAAAAAGAAACTTTGATAATTTAAAGAGAATTAAAGACCTGACACTTTTGGCTTTTGTTTCTTTCCTTTTGTGATAGGGGGATTGAACCCAGGGCCTTGCACATGCTAGGAAAGCACCCTACCACTGAACTATATAACTCCAGCCCAAGAATTAAAGACTTTAAAGCCATTTTACATTTAATATTCAGTTGTATTAATTCATGAATGGTAATAAACTTTTATGGTTCTTGGATCATGATGACAAAAAGAACATAAAGAGTCAAAGAAGCCAGTGCAAAAAAGGGAACAGGCAAGGAGCTTGCCACATGTCTACTTTCTCTTTAGGGTACTATAAACACAGAACACTAGATGATGATGCCTTGCTGGTAACACAGCAGTACCCTAAAGCAGCCAAAGACTAAGATAAAAAGTTGACACATTTAACATTCAGCTCTCAGCTTTTGAGATAAACTAATCTTTCTAATATCTGTTATATAAACATTCTTCCTTAAACTTCTACGAAAACACCATATACCTGACATTATTTTTAATTTTTTTTTTTTTTTTTTTCTGAGACAGGGTCTCTCTGTAGCTCTAGCTGTCCTGGAACTCACTATATAGACCAGGCCGGCCTTGAACTCACAGAGATCCGCCTGCCCCTGCCTCCTGAGTGCTGGGATTAAAGGTGTACACCACCACACCCAGCCTGACATTATCTAATTTTTAAAAACTTAAGTCAAAGCAACCACAACCTTCCTCGTAGAAAAGTATTTTGCAATTTTTAAAAGGGTACCTAAGTTATTTGGAAGACAGAGGGTCTAAACTGGTAAAATACAACTATTGTTAGAACAAATTAAAATGATAAAGAACATGATTAATGGACTTGCTGACTTTTTACCTTATCTTTTATGAGTGAGGTCATCCTTTTCAAATTGTTACAGGTAATTTTACTTAAAAGACTATTCTAAAACACATTATTACTTGGAATAGCATACTATCAGTGTTACAAAGTGTTTTAAGAAAACCTATATAATATTAATGATTTCTAACCAGGTGGTCTCAACATGGAAGTATAAACCATACCCATCTGAAAACTTCTGATCTAAGACAGTCAACTTCTAGTCTTTAACTTGGGACTTGTCATTAACTTTCCACGTGTACATTCCAAACAAATCTCAAGTCATATCTAAGTAGCCATGAGGGCCTTTAATTTCAAGTATGAATCTAAAAATCTAGTAGAATATAATGTAAAAAACTGAGACTAATTTCCATCTATGGCTTCCCCTCACCACCACTAAACAGCTGTCAAAGCTTTGCTATTTCAACCTCTGTGATCTTTTGAGGATTTCCTCATGTTGCTCATGTTTCTAACTTTTACTGTAAGAAAACTAATCATATTATTTTTAGTTGCTACTGTCCAAATTAGTGCCACAATTACAGATTATATGCTCCATAGTGATTGACAGTTGATTAGTGTATTGCCCCAGTCTTCCTCAGAAACAAAGTATTTGGCTGAATGGAGGAAAACACTGGCTCAGAATAAAATGCCAAAAGTTCTTAGAATTTATACAAAACAGAATCTGAGATAAAAGTTCAATTTTTGGTATTTTGGGTTTTTAAAAAAAATATTTTCTAAGTAGTTTATTTTTATTTTATGTGTATAAGTACACTGCCTGCATGTATGTAAGAGCACTGGTGTCATACAGTGCCCATGGAGGTCAGAAGAGGGTGTCAGATCCCCTGGAACTGGAGTTATGGACAACTGTTAGCTGCCATGTGGGTGCTTAGATTCAAATGTGGGTCCTCTGCAAGAGCAGTCAGTGCTTTTAAATGCTGAGCCATCTCTCTGGCCCGTTTATTAATTTTTAAAAATAGAATCAGATATTTAAGTCTTTTTTTAAAAAATATTTTATTATTTTTATTTTATGTGTATGAGTGTTATGCCTGCATGTAAGTGCACCTGTGTTGTACAATGGCTGTGGTGGACAGAAAAGGCTTTCGGATCCCCTGGAACCGGAGTTACGGTTGTTAGCTGCCATGTGGTGCTGGGATTCGAACCCAGGTCTTCTGTAAGAACAGTCAGTGTTCTTAAGCACTGAGTCATCTCTCCAGCTCCCATAAGTCTTAAATAATAAGGAACATTTACCATCAAACTCAGAGTTTGTCTAAAACAGTACTTAAACTTTCACTTGTTACCCATTCTGAAACAGAAATGACTTTTATTTTTCTCCAAGGTGATTCCTATCACATTAGTTAGAATTATATATGTAGTAGACTCTGTTAGATATAATATGCTGCAGGTACAACAAATACTACTTTTTTTTTAAGTTGGGGTAAAGATATAGAGAGAATTTAAAAGTTTGACATTAGAAACAGTTTTGAAATTACAGAAATGACCACACACAAAAATCTGACCTGCTGGGTGTGGTGGCACATAGCTTTAATCCCAGCACTTGAGAGGCAGAGGCAGGCAGATCTCTTGAGTTCCAGGCCAACTTGGTTAACATAGTGAATCCTAGGCCAGGCAGGGGTACATAGTGAGACCTTATCTCAAAAAACAAATGAAGACAAAAATCTGACTATTATAACCGCTTTAGAATATTCAGCTGTTGTTAAAAGTAGGCTTGCGCAGGGCGTGGTAGGCCACACCTTTAATCCCAGCTCTTGGGAGGCAGAGGCAGGCGGATCTCTGTGAGTTCAAGGCCAGCCTGATCTACATAGTGAGTTCCAGGACAGCTGGGGCTACAGGGAGACTCAGTCTCAAAAAGACCAAAAAAAAAAAAAAAACAAAAAAAACAAAAAAAGTAGGCTTGTAAACATATATACCTAAGTGATACAGTCCATATTACTTTTGAGTAGTCAAAATTAGGAATACAAAAATAAAAAGAATTTAAATTAAATGTAAGCCAGGCATGGTGAGGCATGTTTTTAATCCTAGCATTTAAGAGGCAGAGATAGGTGGATCTCTGTAAGATCAAGGTCAGCCTGGTCTACATAGTGAGTTCCAGGCTGGCTGGGGCTATGGGGAGACCGTCTCAAAAACAAAAACAAAAATTTAGAAAAATGGCAACCACTATCTCTAAACTACTTTCTCTAAAAATAGTTAATCCTTGATTATAATCAGCAAGTAGGTGTAAATTACTAAAAGTCTAAAAATCATTTGGATTTAAGATACAAGTTGAGAGATACTAATTTGCTTTCTTAATATCTTGTCAATTAAAAAAAAACTCTCAGTAATGCATGGTTTTAAGAAAGCTTTAGCAAAAGTGATCCTATGAACAGTGTTTTTGGTTTGCTTTGTTTTGAAATTGAAAAAAGAAAATTAGTCAAGCATAGTGGTACATGTAATACCAGCAATTGGGAGGTGGAAGCAGGAGTTCAAGGTCATTATCGGCTTCATAGTGAGTTTGAGTGAGGGCAGCCTGGGTTACATGAGACCCTGACTCAAAAATAATATGAATGATAAATTTTAAATCATATGGTTAAATGCTATTATTTATGAACATTCAGAGAGTTCATTATTTATGAATATTCAGAGAGTTCATGACACACCAACTTTGAACAAAGTTAGTTGACGAACAGAGTTTTCTAGGAAATTTAAAAGTACACCAAATCAAAGGTAATTCCATTAATCTGGTAAGAATTTACTTTATCTTCAGTATGTTTGACTTAAAGGATATCTTATTATTCTCAAACTTACCTTTATATTCTGCACCTAATCTCAACATTAAACGCATAGGAAAAACCTTAGCCCAAGGAATCTCCAATTTCTGGATGAGAATTCCACAAAGAAAAGGATTCCTTGGTAATGGGAGATCATCAAGTTTCTGAAAAGTAGGTGTAATGAACAGGAATCCTCCATGATCCTTGCTATTGAGAAAACTCTCAGTAAAGGTAATATTGTCCAAGTTTTCTATGTATTTTCCTAGAAATAAAATTATTATTAATAAAAAGATTTTAGGTTGTTACATATTTTGAATTTGAATGTCCCAATGTTAAAATTTTTTCATATTTCTACTCTTAAAGAGACACTTATATGAACTGAAGATACAGCTCATTAGTAGAACACTGTATCTCAAGAATGCATCAGGGCCTAGGTTCAATTCCTAGCAACACACACACACACAGAGGATGAAGAGGAGGATGGAAAGAGGAAAAGGAGGAAGGATGAAAAGAGAAGAAGAGTCTAGTGAACACCATGTGTGCACTGGGCTGAGTTACTCCTGGAGACTATGGTGGGGACTATGAACAAAAATGAAAATGTTTACAGTTATGGATGCCTTTAATTATTTTCTCCTTCATGTATGACCAAAAGAAAAATTATCATGTCCCCTCAATATAGTACAAACAATAAAAGTAAATTGATACATTAAAAAAAAAAATCAAGGAGGCAATGGTATTTCCATTTTTTTTGTTGTTGTTGTTGTTTTTGGTCTTTTTTGAGACAGGGTCTCCCTGTAGCCCCAGCTGTCCTGGAACTCACTATGTAGACCAGGCTGGCCTTGAACTCACAGAGATCGGCCTGCCTCTGCCTCCCGAGTGCTGGGATTAAAGGCATGCACCACCACGCCCAGCGGTATTTCCATTTTCCATTTTTAAAAAACTTATGTACAGAAATTAACAAAATTTTAGACTTAAGGAAATAGATGATTAAGTTCTTTTAAGAAACCACCAATCTCTTCACAAAATGAATCTTTAGTACAATTGGCATAGCCAATAGCCAAAATGCCCTTAGCTAGTTTATATAAATCCTAGTCTGAACAGTTCAAAATAAAACTGTATGGGCCCAGTAGGGTAGTATACACCTTTAATCCCATCACTCAGGAGGCAGCCTCTGGGAAATCCAGGCCAGTCTAGTCTTCATAGGGAGTTCCAGGCCAGCTGGGGCTATAGGGAGACCCTATCTCAAACAAACAGACAAACAAAACCCCAAAAGCCCAGTATACCTTTTAAAGCATCCTTATATATGGTGATGAATAGTCTGAAGATGTCCTTAGGAACTGTATCTTCATTTGGCAAACACAACAATAGAATAATAATCTCTGCCTGTCCCAAGCCATGCAATCCATTGGTTGAGAAGAACCAATATTTATCTGAAGAATCTTGAGCAATAAAAGCATACAA